CCTTCTTTCTTTATTTTAGGAAAATAAATCAGTTATTGGGTCCAGGTCGCTCGCTCCGTGATTTGCTCGCAGCATGCGTGAATTCTATTGGCTCTTGCGCAACAAGGCGTGGCCAGCGAGCAGCGTCAGACCTCACGAGCGCAGCTTGTTTTGGAGGAAGAGAGCTCCGTTCAGCTAGCAGCTAGCCGCGTAGCCTGACAGGAAAAGTGAGTGCCTAAATCGCCCGTCATATTTAGTCATTTTACTCCGACATTGACAGTATTGATTTTGACACGTGAACGTCGTGGAGAGCCTAACTTTCGGACAGCTGTCGTCGCTCTAAACGTGTTGTTTTGTGTCATATTTGTCGGAGCTGCTAGTCGTCCTGCGCGTTAAGCTAGGTCTTCCATCACAGGCGAAACAAAAAGTCCACCTTTGATCTGTGTACAAAAAGAAAGACAAATCTTCTTTTAATCTGACGGCTCGTCACCCAGGTTGGTTTGTAGTGACTCAATTTGTTTATTACTGACAATATAATCATTGCTGTCGTTTTCTAATTATCATAAATATTAACATTCCCCTCCTTTAGCCAGCGATATGTTACCCAATTGTTTACTAGATGGTTATCTCGTGTTGTAAAATAAACCATGAAACAGTTTCAAGCAGACTTCTTTCATATATGTGTAATAGAACCGATTAGAAGTTGTTTCTTGTGTTTCTCTTTTCCGGTCATTTGTCACCCTGCAGTGTAGCTGTGTCAGTTGTTTACAATGCTAACTATCTAAAAGTGTGTTCCAAGCCTTTCATTTCCATGTTTTGGCCTTTAGACACACGATGCAGTGGATCGACACTAAACGTATAGAACCAAACGGGTCACGTTGTGAAAGACGCCGGTTGTGACCCATTATGTTCCAGTTAACAGCACTTGTTGTGCTAACCAGCCTGCCAAGTCATGGTTCCCTGAGTCGTGTGTTTGAAGCCATGTGATCAGGTCCTGACACTGTGTCATGGGGTTCAGATTATGCGAGCTGCGAAGATAGCTCTATGCTAGTTCGGCAACTTTTGAGCGCATCAAAGTTGAAGACGCTGGTTGTTGGGAATCCGCGACTCCTCTCGGTTTGGGATTGTTAACTGCGTCACCTGATAGCAGTGATAGCTTGAACTCCTCTGTAATAATAGAGCAATGGAGTTTGGACTTTGAGAATTGCAGCTATACGAGGAGCTTGTTATTGCGCAACGGGGCTAGACTGGAGTCAGAAGTCTTCTATAAAGTCTTCCCGAAACTCGCTGCCACGATTGGAGGATTTGTTTGCTATCAAAGTTTAGGCGCATTGTAAATTGGGGAGGTTAGGTATTACATTTGATTTGCCGGACTTACTAAAACAAATCATCTTATGAGCTCTAGAAGCTTTCTCATTTTAGTCAGACAAGATTTGTACATACTTCACTGTCTCACTGTCCATGTCAGACAGTGAGAGATCAGAATAGGCAAGTTTGATAAAATAAATCAATTGGAAAAAGAGAAATACATGCTTTGATACGTATAGACTATCTTGTAATTTTTGCTTTTTTTGGGGGGGGGGGTTGGTTCAAAATTACTATAATTTTTTATGTTTTATTGTTAGGAGAAAAATCTGAATCTGCAGCTTTTTTTATTTTTTTATTTTGTAGTTCCAGTCCAGTCAGTTGCTCGGATATTTTTAGCATCCCGTTAGTAACTCAGCTAAAGTACTTTGTATTTCAAGGCATTTCTTTAAAGAAGAAGTACAGTGTTTGGCCCAAATCCAAATGTTCACGTTTGGGCAGCACAGTATATGATGATTGTGTAATATTACTATTCAAGAGCCATATTGGAGTGCAGTAATTGCTGGCGGATCTATTTCAAGTGTTATGAACTTTTATTTCATATGCTAATGTGATGTCTAGTCAGCTAGAGCCTCACAACAGCAGATGCTAACACACAAATGACTATGGCCGAAACTCTAAAGGTCGCAGAATGCAGGACGCACAGACAAAAAAAAGATAAAGATAAAATATATATATATATATATATACTAACATAACATATCACCGTCACAAGAATGTCTTATATCTTGGCTGCTGTAATTCAAACAGTTGTTTTATATTCTCTTCAAATGTTTCTACAAATTTTTAGAGATTTGTTTAACTTGCTTATAATTGATAGGTTTACAACTATCAGGCTTTTTTTTTATTATTTATTTATTTTAGGAGAATAAAAAAGTTATTGAGTCCTGGTTGCTTAACGTGCTCAGGATTTATCCACAACCTTGAAGTAACAATAGGAAACAGTAGTTTTTTTCTGTTCCCTTTTACTGTCAACAAAACACCGCAGTGGTTTGTAAATGAATGTAAATGGAATCCATCCACCCGCCTGTCCGTCTGTCCATCCACACACAGACATAATGCTCACCCTGGTCATGTCTATGGCTTCTTAACATCCAACTGTCTCAATTCAAAAATGAACTAACTTTGAAAAATTAAGACTGAAAAGTGAAAACTTTGGCAAAATTATTTCTCTTGCTTTTATTTTTCCTAAACTTTTTTGTCTCCACAGCTGTGAAATCATGACATCACGGAAGAAAGTTCTACTCAAAGTCATCATCCTTGGAGACTCTGGGTGAGTAGTTGTTGCAGCGTTACATTGGTTCTAAAAATGACTCTCCAGGCGGCTGAGAAGCCACTTCCTGGTTTCATATTTGTTTTGTTGTTGTAGAGTTGGGAAGACCTCGCTAATGAACCAGTATGTGAATAAGAAGTTCAGCAACCAGTACAAAGCCACGATTGGAGCCGATTTCCTGACGAAAGAAGTGATGGTGGATGACAGACTTGTCACAATGCAGGTATTGAAGCTACTTCTGACTCTCTCTCCATCCGTTTGGTGCATGCAAGCTTTAAGAAACCGCAACTCTTCTGCCTTTCAGATTTGGGACACAGCGGGTCAGGAGAGGTTCCAGTCTTTGGGTGTAGCTTTCTACCGTGGAGCTGACTGCTGTGTGCTGGTGTTCGATGTGACCGCACCCAACACCTTCAAGACCCTAGACAGCTGGAGAGACGAGTTCTTGATCCAGGCCAGCCCACGAGACCCAGAGAATTTCCCTTTTGTGGTGCTGGGCAACAAGATTGACCTGGAGAACAGACAGGTTAAATGATGTTTTAACTACAGAAATATTTCTCGGCTGGAAAGTTTTTGTAATCTCTGACTTGAATATGTTGCTATACTGATACGTGTCTCTTGTTAAAAGGCGTTCCAGTAGATCAATCACCAGCCTCCTTATCTTTTAGCCAATAACATTAGCTCCTGTTGTGTTTCAGGTACCAACCAAACGGGCGCAGATTTGGTGTCAGAGCAAGAACAACATCCCGTATTTCGAAACCAGCGCCAAGGAGGCAATCAATGTGGAGCAGGCTTTCCAGACTATCGCACGCAACGCTCTTAAACAGGTATCAGGATGGAGACTGTCATTTCGAAGCATCAGCCTTTTTTTTTTTATTGTTGTTGTTGTTGAAGTTTAGTTAATGTTCCCTCCACTCGCTCTGGCTCTGACCTCAGGAAACCGAAGTGGAGTTGTACAACGAGTTCCCCGAGCCAATAAAGCTGGACAGGAACGAGCGAGCCAAGCCTTCAGCAGAGACCTGCAGCTGCTGAGGCCTCTGAGGATCATCAGGGGCTCGTCATCGCCCGCATCACCCTGTCTTGCCTTGTCTATTTATCCCCTGCCCCGTGGCCCCACCGTGTTACGCCCTGACGTCCGACATACAAGCAGCGTCCCCGCTCATAAGAGTATATTACTACACACAAACATGCTGCACCCACCTCCTTATATAAATATATATATACAAAATACATTTTCTATAAAATAGTCTTTTAGTCCAAAGAACACTTTAAGGAAAGCGTGAGGTGTTTATTTGTTTGAAGCTCGTCTCCTCCCCAGTCTTTGCCCCTCTTACTTGTCCTTGGTGGTTTGGGGCTGGATTTCCTTCTGTTTCACGTATTTCCTGCTTTCACTCCCAGTGTGCTCCCAACTGCTTGTATTTTGATACTTAAAGTGGGAAATCAAAGCATTACTTCTGTATGTATTTTGAATTTCTGAGTTGGACAAATGTTTTTTTTTTTAATAATCAAAATGTCTGTAATTGTGGTGGTCATTTTCTCTCAGTCCACCACTGCTGCACGAACAGAGGAAACTGCTGCTCCATATTTTCCCTAACACTCGTTACGGTGGTATATACAGCCTGGACCGCATAAAAGAAATCTCCCTACATCAGCGGGGCTTTTGTGTGAAACTAAACAAGTGAATTAGATGAAAATAATGGTGGCTGACTTAAAAAAATTTGCACATAATTGAGAACCAATCTGACAAATATGTACAGTTATTTTCCCTCACAACCATGCTGTCATACCCAGTTGCTTAAATTTATGGAGACGACTCATTTCAAGCCACACAATAAATGTGATTGTAGCTTAGGTTGGGACTTTAGGTCTAAGCGATGCTCCTCTGTTGGGAAAATGAAGGTTCATCTTGTAATCTTTTACCGTTCTCACACCATTTGACATGGGAACCAGCTGCATCAATACAGCATGCCAGACAGACCGGGAGGAGAGCTTTTTTTTTTTTGAAATAACTCCTATTATTAAATATGTTTCTTTTACAAGACTTTGTGTATAATTGCGAATTTCTCAATCATGGTTTAGGGAAGGCAAAGAAAGCTGTTGTAAATCTCTATATCCGACTCGCCTGTGGTGGCAAACAGTTTAAGAGCTTCTCATCTTATTTTAACTGATTGGATCTTTAACTGTTGGTTTGTATTATACTGAGAGCTAGAAATTCATTGTTGAGTCTAAAATAGCACATATACTGTAACTCTGACTCTTACAAAGAAACATGGAAGTCTTTGGCATTCATCATTATTATAATATGGTAATGCACAACATCTACATTGTTTCAAAATGTCTTTGTGTTTCAAGTAACATGGATAATAAAAGAATCTTGACTTATGCGTAAAGAGTTCTTGGTATTTATTATTAAATCTTGGGCAATCAAAAAACATGAATGGCATCAACATAAGAAATATACAAACATTTTCATCAACAAAAATGAAGACTGAAATGATCTCCAGCATCACCACCCAGCTACATTTCTTGTGTTCATTTTGTTCTCGGTTTCTTATTGGCTCCCTGAAGCCACAGCTGAAGTCCTCCAGCTGGCTTGCGTCGACTCTTCGTCTCGCCGTCTTGCTCTCCTTTGGTCCCGTTCGTGTCGGGCTCCTTCCTTTTAGCCGGGCTGCCGCTCGACAGCCAGCTCATCATCATCTTACTGCTAGCTGTGGGTTTGATCTCCTGGAAAACCAAGAGGCAAATCAGTCTTATGGGGAAAAGAAACTCTTGAAATTCAAATTTCTCTAAATGTGTTTTGATGCAAACATGTCACACTACTTTGTTGGTTCTCGCTCCCTGTGGTATTGTTTCAAAAACGTTCTCCAAATGTCACAAGATTTATTCCCATCTAGTGTTACATTAATTTCACTCCAAGCTCCTGTTTTGCATGAATTATTGCGTCAAAGAGGCATGGCATGGATGGGAAAAGTGCATGACAGACAGATTGCTCCAATAAGACTTTGAATCGAATAACTCAGATGAATTCCCTTTTTAATGATAGTTTCATTCGCTGAGATGCACTCGTCTGACTGTATGGCTGTTATTGAAAGACAGTCGCTTGTTGGCGTTGATACCTTTTTGCTGTTGGGATCCACCGGTTGGAGGCACTCCGGGGAGTTGTTGCGCGAGTTGTTGACGAAAGACGAGACGGGGTGAAAAGTCAAAACGTCCTTGGACTGAAGCAGCTTGATGGCGTCCAGAGATCTCACCTCCCCGAAATCGAGCCACCTTCTCACTTCGTCTTCTCCATCCAGGATGGCTGGCATCCTAACACAAAAAAATAGCACAGGTAGTCGTTTAAATTTTATTATCAGGGTAATGCAATTAAAATTTCGGATTAATATATTTTTTCTTAAGTGATCAGAATATGTAAAACAAAAATTACTTACATTGGCCGATACCAATGTTGATGCCAATATATCATACGTCTCTGACAATAAGTGATTTTGGTTACAGAATTTTCAACATAGTTGTAAAATCAAAAAATAAATTGTTTTGTGTGAAAAACAATGATGTATAGCGGTGGTAATAGAAAGGTCCATGTCCCTAAGGTATAATATCCCCAGGTATAATATCCGATCGGAGAGGGTGCATCTTTAAAGATGTTGACGAAAACGCATCTCCTCATCTGTCATTTTGAAAGCTTGTACCAATACCAAAGATCCCACAGGGGTAGATAACACCAACTTATCGAGCATTAACCAATGTATGATTTGAATCTTTAGTTAAAGTACATTTCTAACTACATTTTAAAATTTCTTCAATTGAATTTAAGTTTGTTTTAAGTGAAAACACTGATGTGGACTAAAAACAAGAAATCCAAATCTTTCATTTCTTCTTTTGTTTTAATAAAATGGAGAAGACTCTGAAAACCAATTAATTTTCTATCCCCTATTCTATAATTTTTGCTCTTCAAAGCACTAAAAAAACAAAATCTTTTACTTCTCAAGACGGTGTAGGAACCTTTCTTTTTGTTGGGAGTTGTTTTCTACAGCTGCATCAGAGCCAGACTGTCTCACCCCTTGTTTTGAATTCCTTATCCTTGGTACAAAACTCATGTCGTCTCTGCCTGGCAGAGCTTTTCATCCAGACCTGCTTCATTACTGATTGTCTCACAAGCTCTCTGTATTGTGTACAACATATGAATACACCTGATCGAGTGATTTCACCTGACAGTGCTTGGTAAAATATTTTTTTTCCACAACACATACAAAAAAAGAGAAAAACTGCAGCCACCACTAACCTGTCGTGAATGCTTTGGAGATTCGGGGAAGCGTTCACAGTGATGACGCTGTAGGTGTAGAGAGCTTCTCCACCGCCTGGCGGTGTCCAGCAGTCAAACACGCCGGCCATCGTCAGCAACCTCCACCCGGTCCACTCAGCAGCAGCTTCACTTTCCTTCCGAATTACATTTTGTTTCCAAAATGAAAACCCGCCTGCCTCACACTATGATTCCCAACGATTTCTGCAATTTTGTTCTAGATGAATAAATCACTTGAAGTACTTTTTTTCCAACAGGAGATAGTGCAAACCTCTGCCAGGTCATCCGAGATTTCCCCTTTCTCTGACATGACTGCATTGCAAGTTGAAGTCGTGGCGTCCTCCCGCTGGTCCTCTTTCCTCTCCTGGGTCAGGCCATTTTTCTGAGGAAAGTAGATGAAGAAAGGCTGCTTCTCCTTTTCCACCCTCCGCCACTCGTAAAATCCGTCAGCCATGATGACGCAGCGCTGTCCCTTCAGCAGGGGGTCCTTTGAAAAGAGGCCAGGATGACAAGCTCAAAATGAAGGGACGACAAAACACAGGAAAGGATGACTTCCAACGAAGTGCACACCTTGTAGGACTTTTTCTCGAGAATGTTTTCGCTGCGGCAGTTGCTGGTGCTGTACTGCATCTTGCTGGGGTCACTCTCCTTGAACCAGGCGGGTATGAGACCCCAACGCATTGAGGCCAAAACACATTCATCCACAGGAGCAGCCTGGGGAGGACATAAATCAGCAACTTCTAGTACGACAGCCCTCACCACAGGGCTGGCTTTTCATATTCAATATGTTATTGTTCATATCTAAATGCAACTGAGAGATGAAAAGAAATGTCTGGATAGATACTGACAGAGCTTGAACTAATTTGTAAAGAGGAATGTTTCTCAAAAAATATTTCTAGATGTATTCAATTTAAGGGAGTTGAATGCATGTCACTTTTTGTAGCTTAATATTTGTAAATATTTTCTTCACATTTTCCAATTATCCACCACTTTGTGATGGTGTACCACATAAAATCTAAATTAAAAACGACAAAGTACTCAAAAATCTAAAGGACAGTAATATTTCTGGACACATATCTAAAACTTCCCAGAAAAAGTTCCTTCAGATGCACTACTTATTCAAATACGCTTTGGAAAAAAAGCTCATACAACTTCATTGAAATTTGTGCAGAATTTACAAACAATAAATTATCACAAAACGCAGTCAATTCAACCTTTTAAAATAAAATGAAATGAGGTACAAAGCACAGGCTCGGAACCATTTAAGGGGGGGAACCAAAAGTCATCTGACTCGGAACCGTTCATCTGCGGGGAACAGCGGGCCAGCTTGTTGGAGAAAAGTCCCTGTAAAACATACACTTTCACCACATCTGACGTCACCTTGTCGAAATGTCTCTGTGACACCAGGACCGGACTCATGGACTGGGGACTCTTGTTGTAGGAGGGTCTGTATTTGTCCGCGTCTCCGTCCCTCCAGCGCGGCTGTCTCCGCTGTCCGGCCCGGTCTCTGTACGAGCAGGCTCGGCTCACCTCGTCCGGAGCCAGAGTGCACGCAGTTCTCCCACACATCTCAGAAAGCTGAAACCAACCGGCTCGAGCGACTTTGTGAAATGGAAGGTCTTTCTCGCGCCTTATTAAGACCCGTCAAAAAAAAAAACTACCAGTTTGCCAGTATTGACGTATAAATGTCAAACTCGACGTGCTGGGAGTTACTGCGTGTTTAGAAATAGTGCGCGGATTTGTCTGGGCAGGACACTGAAGCTGTCAGAGCGCTCTCCCCGCCCCGGATCCAATATGGCGGCTGTAAGCCACAAAAGACTTTCGTAAACCCTCCGCTGCTGGTTGCCATGGTAATTTAAGAGCCTGTCTACTGTACAGCACTACAACCTATGGAGGTTCTCCATATATTACTCCATAAAGCTGCTACAATAAAACACAGTGTTAAGCAGGAAATATAAATATGATATCAAAATCAATTCATGATGTCAGATTGTAATATGCGGCTTTTTCTGCTGACTTCCACAATATATTTATATATTATAGTATAATATGTTATATGCAAAATTATAATATATGATACAATATCAGAAACAAGATACAAGTAATTGTCTGGTATCTTGTTTCTGATTTCAGTGAGGGAGTTGGGTAATATTAACAGTGTAATATTAAAACTCATAATTGAATATATTTCCTATATTTTTATTATAATAAAAGCAATAAATAACATATAAACCTGAAAATATGTCATTTGACCCATAATTTTTTTTTTAAATATGACAAGAAAAAAGGGTTTTCATTGTACATTTAATCAAATCCCTTCACCTGTGCTATAAGCATTTGTAAAATGTAAACTGTAAATCACAGATATACACTCATGATTTTCATAAGCGGGGTAGAAAGTTTCATGAAATCCAACGCGAGAACTGAATGTATAAAATGTGTTTCGCTTTTGTATTAAATTAAGGAGAAATAAATAATCAGAAATAAATGATTGATTATTACTACTAACCTGAGTACGAAAATGTATTTTACACGCACACATTAATAGTAGAATGAATTAATCATATAGGTGTAGATATTTCTGTGTCTAGCCTACATGTCGTAGGATGAAATAACAATAAAAAGGCATTCGCTTCCTTCACTCTTTTTTTTCCAACAGAAAATGGCTGGATTTTGGTTTTTTATTTTTATTTCATTATATTCCTATGATTGTTTTTTTTAATCATTGATTTACTTTATATAAATATTTCGTCTAAGAATTAATTCCGTTGAATGTTTTGCGGCTTTGTTAATGAAGGTATTTATTTATTTTACTTTTTAACAATGGGCAGCTCTTCGTCGCCACGCCTGGCGAGTAACCGCAAAGGAGGTTGCCATAGTAACGTTAAACAAGTTAACACCGGCGCATCGGGGATTCCTGTGGTGAAACTCGGTACAAGGTTAATAGAGCAGGTGAGGGGGACATCTCTGCACTAATGGCGTTTGATAAACACCCCGGGGTCGTCCTGCTGCCAGCAGCGGGTGGAGTTTGTAGCAGTTCGGACAGAAAAGCTTTAGAAAAGCGGCTCAGCATGTGGTCTGTTTTAACAGACAATTTAAGCCCTGGCGGTTTCATAGCTTGTGTATAAAAAGAATAAATGCATAACAAAAAGACTCAGAAACACACTGGTGATTAGGTTTGCTTTCCTTTTATTACGGTGGCGTAACGAAAGTTTCAGACACGCTTGAAATCTGGAGCCGAGCTGTCCACAACAGAAGCAGTTTGACCCGCTTGGCGCCGCACGAGGACACGGGGAGGGGCTTAAAACGCACGCGCTCGCTTATTGGGTCTGCGGAAACGATTTGCTCACCTTTATGTCGTCTGTTTCAGTCCCAAAGCTGCCAGACGGTGGGAGCTAATGAGACACATGAAATGGTTTCCCTGGGGAAGAAGGCCGCCGACTCTGACAACGCTGTGATCCTGAGCCTAGAGAAACTGCAGGACGGCAAGGAGCACAGTTTACCGTGTCCAAGCTGTAAGTGAACAACGCAAATGTAGAGCGAGCTAAAAACAAAAAAAAATATTCGTCTTTTTCCTGACTGATATCCAGAATGCAACACTGGGAAAAAAAAAAATATATATATATATATATATGTATATATATAGCAGTTAGGAGCACACTTGGAATAGATTTAATAAACCAATGCAAATAAAATAATGCATGGATTTCAGCAAATTTCAAAGAAAAAAAATTGCCAAAAACTTAATGAGTAGATAAAAGATCTAAATCCAATCGGGCATGAGAGGCAAGAATAAAACTCAGTGGTCAGTGTGCACCAAAAGTCTTACTGTAGTAATAAGGTACACACTCAGAGGCCCTGAATACAAAGGTATGCTGCACTTTTCAGATTTTATTTCTGTAAAAAAAATAAATAAGAGTCAAACACCATTCAGCTTAAAATGATAAATTACTTTGTTTTAGTTTGTGGCACTACAAGGACCTTTTTCAACTTGAAACATTAGACATGGATGTGGAGTCAAATGTTTAAACGTAGAAGCTGTGAAATAATAATTCAGAATTTTTTTTTTTGGTCCAAGCCTTTAGAAATATTATCCAGCATGAATACATTTTTTATTGCCAAAATTACTCATGGAGATTTCTTCCATTTAACTAGGAAAACTGTTTGCATTTTCTCGCTGGCTTTGCACCGTTAGATCTTTGTCCAAAATCATAAAAAAATAAAATAAAAATAAGTGCGTACATGTGTTTGTGTGTCAACAGATCCTCCTGAGATCAGAGTGGGCTTACCCGACCTCAACCCAAGCAGAGTGAAGTTAGCCAAGAGTTTGGTGGAGAAAGCAATTAAGGTCAGCCGCGACTTCTTCTTTTTCGAGACCCAAACCTCTCGTTGCTCCAAGAAGGAAAGCACAACTTTTGATCCCGCTGTTTCAGATGCACAAGATATTCACCATCCAAGGCCCATATCCTGTCGTCAGGGCGGCTTTGAGGGCCAGAGGCTGGATTGAACAACGCATGCCGCAGCAGGTCCAGCCGCGTCTGAACAGCGACAGCAGATCGTATGATGCGGAAGAAGGTGAGCTGAAAGCATCTGATCAAAACGTCCTTTTGTGGTGAATGGTTGTTTGAAGTGTTGGGCCTTCTCCTTAGACAACTCAGAGGAAACTGAAAAAGAAAAGGAGCCAGATAGACTGCACAGTCTCATGGTAAATGCAGAATTGGTCGCTGAAAGTAGCAAAACGTAGCCGAGTGGTTCAGCCCATAACATTATTTTAAATTTCTCTTTAGTCTCGTCTTGTGCGGAACGAGATGGTTTATTTCTACTGGACGAACCGTAGAGACGCAATCTGCACAAACAGCTTGCAGAAAGAACAGATTATCAATCATTTTGCTAAGGCAGGCAGTTTCACCACAAAGGTAGATTTACAACACTTTTTTTTATGTTCTTTTCACTGGAGTAGGTTATTTCTGTACTCTTTCCACCTCTGCCCTTCACACTCACCTTCATCGCCAGCCTTTTTACTCCGACAGGCGGGGTTGTGTGTGAACTTAAGGAAGCTCCACTGGTTTGACTCGGCTGACGCAGACAGCTTCTTCCCCCGCTGTTACAAACTCGCAGCCTGCGATGAGAAGCACGCTTTCATTGGTCAGATCTGGTTTTGCATTCGAGCTGGCAATTATTTTAGCAATCGATTATTCCGACCACGTACTTTTCCATACCACTGGTCTAAATTTGTTCATGTGGACCTATCTTTGTGTGTTGTTCTCTGTAGAGGACTACAGGCGGACTGCGTGCACCAGTCTACTGAAATACGTTGTGGAGAAGGACCAGTACATTCAGTGGAACGAAATGCATCAGAACTTCCAGGATGTTCGGTGTATGATCCGCTGATCACTGTGAACACTTTTACATTTCGTCACATTACAAACTACAAGCTTCAATGTATTTTATTGGTGTTTTATGTGATACAAGAGAGATTGGCAAGAGTGAATTAGAAGAAATTATATTGCGATTATAGGTGCAAATATTATTGGTTTTATACATTGTCGACTCCATTTTGTTCCTGTTTTTAGTTGCAAAATAACTCTAGCTTGCACAGATTTAGATGCCGTCTCATCACAGATTACTAATTGGATTTATGAAATCTAACACGATTATGAGTTGATCTAAACCGATCTAAGATCTTCTCCTTCCACCGCAAGATGACGTACAACTTTTGTTTTTGATGTTCCAATCTCAATCACACACAGGTTTGGGTGTTGTAAAGTGACATTTCAAAAAGGTTTGAAGTGTTCAGCTCACATTTTGCGAGGCACTGACCTAATCTTCCGCCTGAAGATTCGGTTTCTCCCTCCACATTCAGGGCTGAAGAAACAGAGCAAACTCCGCTGTAAACCACCGGTCCCTTCCGAAACGGTTACTACTGCGCTCAGAGTATGCCAGGAATACCTGGACAGTCTGGAGCACGGAGACATCGACAAAAGCCTGGAAACACAGCAGACGCTCACACAGGCACAGTGGGAAGGGTTTTTGAACAGTTATTATCTTGTTGCTCAGTGAGTGTTCATCAGGCGTGAGAGATTTTTTTGTTGTTGTTGTTGGGGAAAACGTCCCTTTCAGGATCTTTACAGTGCTTTTTTGTTTTCTCTGCTTCCTCCACAGTGGCGGAGCGCAGATCGAGAAAAGTGAAAATTTTGTTAGCTCTTGCAAGGCCATGCTGCAGAAACTTGAGAAGGTTTGCCCACAGCTTGGCATAGATGGCACACAAAACATCTGGATCGTCAAACCCGGAGCAAAGTCCAGGGGCAGAGGTAGGACACCGGAGACCGTCAGACAGAGCCACGTCGCATTTGAAACGTCCTGTCTGATCGGTTGAATTTGTCTTCAAGGTATCAAATGTGAAAAGCGTCTTGATCAGATCCTCAGACTAGTGAACATAGACTCAACCCTTATCAAGGAGAGCAAGTGGGTGGTGCAAAAGTACATTGAGAAACCCTTTCTGGTCCACGACATCAAGTTTGACGTGCGCCAGTGGTTTCTGGTCACTGACTGGAACCCTCTTACTGTGTGGTTCTACAAAAAGTGCTACTTGCGCTTTTCCACCCAGCCATACTCATTAGACACGCTGGACAGGTAAGACCGTAAATTCTATACTGGGGGAAACAAACTATGAGTCCTGTGATTAATTTTGAAATGGAGAAACGGGAAGTGAAATTCAGAAGAAGGTGTGTCTTCTGTACCTCTCACTATTGGAGAGAGATTTGGTTTCGCATCCGTGTGTAACCGAAGCTGTTTCATCA